GGGTTACTGTATGGGGGTGGGGGTGGTCAATCATGCCGGCTTTGAAATCATCTAATTTAGTTAACCTAATCACTCCATTGACTTGCCTTGCTAAATCACATGTTCTCATATCCAATATTACTCGTGTAACAATCATAAATATATATATATACATATATATATATCCACCAAATATTACTCATGTAACAATGAAACTAAATTACATGTAGTCTTTTATTGATTCTATTTTCCTATAATGGTATATTTTGATAGTGTAAATTATAATTTTTTTAATATTTTTAATAATGAAGGAACTTCAAATCAATTATATATATGCACTGGATAAAACTACATTGTCGTATAATAAATAGTGTAAATTATTGATATATGAAGTGTAAAAGCGACTATATAACTAATATGATGTGATTGATTTAAACATGAGGAAAAATGGAGCATGTTATATTAAGGAGTGACGGTCTTAAAGCGCAATAATAAATTAAAAAGGACCACATTTGAACTCAATTTCAGATTTACTCAGACACATTTATAAAATATCTTGGAGTAGTTAGGGTTTTGAATAAATAAAACTCAATTATCGATTTTTTTCAACAAATGAACATGAACACCGTACACTAATTTTTCTTTACTGAATTTAATCTGGAGTAAAAATAAATAATTTTAATCAATGACGGACTAATATTTTCTCCAATTTTGACTTGTTAAGAATTCATGAGTGCATAGATTATTTGATTTTTTTCATGAATATATGTAGTGTGTACAGTTAAATCTTTATAAATTAAAACAATCGGGAGTCGGGACTAGCAAGATTCTATTAATTTAACGAAATATTAAATTATCGAACTAATAATTTAGTAGATTTTACCGAATCGAGACCAGAATAAACTATTATCTAAGCAAAACTATTAATTTATCGAGATTTTACTATAGTATTTCGTTTCATTAATGCTTATATTTACCACGTAGTTACTTAGCTGACAGCCAAATTTATCTATTACAATTTACAATGATTGCTTATTATTTATGTAATAATGGTTTGACAAGTCAACACATAAGAGTTGTATTGATAATAAATTTGAGACCAATTTTGCAATTGGTACTGACTAATAAATGATATAACTGCCAATTCTTCACTTTTATCAAGTTGCCAAATTAATCAAACATACAAAATACTATTCCTATTTTGGCATGACTATAACTATATGTTAATCAACTTGTTTGGAAAAATAAAATAAAATTAAAAAACATATATATGTATATATATTTGACGGCCGATATAATTAATATTTGTCATATTAAATCGTTGAGGTTTTAATTCCGAAAAGGAAAAAAATGTTCTTAGGATGTAAACGAGCTCGAGCCGAGTATGTTTTGACGAATTCGAGCTCGAGTCCATTTTAACGAGCTCGAACCGATTTTGTCGAGCAATTGCTATCGTTATTATGTTGCGAATTCATGAGCCCCGTGATCTGATCAGATAAGTCAAAATGTATCCACAGCTTGGTGCAAAATATCCCAATTATAAATCAAATCTTAGTCGGCTGAGACCAGATAATAATTAACTAAAAACCAATTAATAAATAATTAAAAAAAAAATAAACAAAATTAATAGATAGGTAATTGTCTAATTGACATTTGAAATTGAAGTAGTCTTCCCCTTCCAATTAATTTGTCGGCCGCACACGCAGAGTTTACACACATCATATGAAACACGTGACCAATTTGCTTTTGTATTTTTTTATTAAATATTCTTTTTTCCCGGCAAAAACTTGTGTAAAAATGATTTGTTAATGGGTTTCAGAAGTCAGAATAATTGATTAAATAATAATAATATTAATTTAAAGAAAATAATCAAATAATCCAACCCTCTTTCAATTTTCAAATGTTTGGAACTATTCAAACAACATGTAAATTCAGTGTGCTGCCTTTTATTTATGAGATCACCATATTCGAATATGTAACATCATGATGTAGAAAAGATATTTAAAAAAAAATATCTCTACTTCACTGTTTTATTTAATATATTTTATTATATTAATTAAAAATAGCAGATAAACTCATTAACATTTTAAAATTTAATGTAAAAAAATATGATGTAACAACTTATAATTAGTTCTTAAAATATTTTATTCCGTTTAAAATACGTTTAGCCAAAACGAGCAATTTGTTTTGAGATTATCATATTTGAATTACGTCATGATGCAGATAAGATCAACAAAAATGGAGTCTACTTGCATGAGAAATTGACAATTAATATAGTTTTGCATCATCATGCATATATTAATTCATGCCAATTGGGTTAAATTAGTATATTTGTTGACATATGATGAAAAGAATCCCTATTGGTCGTATCTGGCAACAAATATACTATTTCTTTTATAGATAAATTATTATTAATTAGATTTGTTGTGAATAGAATAGATCATTAGTTTCATTTTATTAATTAGGGATAAAATCAAGAATTTTGAAGATAATCATTACAATTAACAAAATTTGCCCAGATTAGCATAAATAGGATTTGCAGATTTGGTATTTTAATCATAATACAAGAAATTTGATGACTCGGCACATTATATATTCGAATCCGACGTGGCGTTTAACCATTGGCTAATTGACGTGGCTCCACCTAGCCAGCATGACACCATGTCACCATCTTGTTTTCCTGCAGTTACTTCCTTCGTGGGCTACAAAAGATTTCCTACAGTGTCTTATCCTGCAGTTACTCAAACACCAATGCTTTACGTGGTTGTACGTTTGACCAACAAAAGGAAAGTACACGTCACCGGTCAAAATGTACAACGAAATCAGAGGCGATGTAAACAAGTTCAAATGTCGCGGAAATAATAATAAATGCTCTTAACCCAGTTTTGATTTTGTTAGCGTCTGTAAAAACCAAAACCCTCTCTCTCTCTCTCTCTGTGTGTGAAAATTACACTCACTGAAGGTGATACCGATCTGCCTGTTAGCGTTCAGGGGAGCAAGACATTGGAGCCGCATTAGTCTTCTCTGTAATCTCTCTCTCTCTCTCTCTCTCTCTCTCTCTCTCTCTCTCTCTCTTGATTTATATATTTGTGTATAAGCATTTGCTTCAGTCATGCATTTCTAGTTATGCTTATATGTTTTATCTTTGTGGGCCAAGATTAAATATTTTTCGTATGGATTTCAGTACTTAAAAATAACTGAAGAATGTGGTTTTTTTTTTTTTGTTGGATTCGAGAACAAATTCGATTTTTTTTCCTGCAATGTGGTCCGTTGATTTTTGGATTGGATTTTTTGTGACATGGTTATATTATCTTGACATGATTTTGAGATAAAAAATTGAGTTATATCGTATATGATTACAAGTGATTGCATTTGTTTTAGCGTCGTTTCACTTTTGCAAACGCAATCGTGTTCGGTTTTCGTGTTTTTCTTCCTAAAAAGGGGCAATGCGGAATACTTGTACTTTGATTGTAATTTATCGCTTCTTATTAATGTAAATAGTGTTCGAAAAACGACACTTGTTGCACATGTTGATTATTAATCATTTTGTATCTTTGTGTTCTTTTTTTGTTTTATCTTATAATAATTTTTCGTTGTTGCATTGTAGTTTTTTCGTTGAGAAATCGAAGGACAGTTTAGAATTTTAATTAGATACACGATGAAGAACCACGAGCGCATGGCTAATCTTGCTCTAGCAGGTATATATAAATACTTACTTTCAGTGACAGTTCTTGCAAAAGCATTGAACACGATTAGATACACGATTCGGTCATTGAACATGCATGCATGTACGAACGTTATATTTATCATTGAAAGTTTGGGTGTTCGTGTATCAATGAATGATCTTCGAATTAAGGACCATAAGATTATATCAGAAAAAAATGAAAAAAAGTTTTGTGATTTCTACCTCTTAGCACATCCCATTTCGATTACGATTTACGTGCTTTATCGTTGACTGCAGGCTTGGCCCTAGCCCCACTTGTTGTGAAGATAGACCCAAATTTAAACGTCATTTTGACGGCTTCTCTAACAGTCTACGTGGGCTGCTATCGTTCCGTTAAGGCAACTCCACCATCCGTAAGTTTAGCATCAAACTGCATTTACGCTCCCTCGGTGTTGTCGCTATTTCGGAATTCGTGTTCACTTTTTTCTAATTCGATTCTTTTTTATTTTTTTTAATTATTTGCAGGAGACAATGTCTAACGAACACGCAATGCGGTTCCCATTGGTCGGGAGTGCGATGTTGTTATCTCTGTTTTTGCTTTTCAAATTTATGTCAAAAGATTTGGTTAATGCTGTACTCACGTCCTATTTTTTTGTCCTCGGGATCGCCGCTCTATCGTACGTCTCTCCCACATGGTTTATTCTAATTTCCATTTATAAATATATATAGAGAGAGAGAGATAGATACGTATTTTGTGTACTAACATTCCTTGGTTTGTGTCGACTTTTGTAGAGCAACATTATTACCGGCAATCGCAAGATTTCTCCCCAAACCGTGGAATGATAATCTCATTATTTGGCGTTTCCCGTATATCCGGTGTATGTATAATTTTTTTTAATGATCCTTGTTGATACTCGAGTGTAAATCGACAACAAAATTTTCCCAATTATAATTGTTAGATGCAGAATAATATATATATCTTCGCACGTTTTTTTTTTGTACAGCTTTGGAGGTTGAATTTACAAAATCGCAGATAATTGCGGCGATTCCCGGAACCTTCTTTTGTGCATGGTACGCTACAAAGAAGCACTGGCTAGCTAACAATATCTTGGGGCTTGCTTTCTGCATTCAGGTTCGATAGTTAGCACCACAAACTTATTTATTTACCCATATACCCCTCAAAAAGCACGAAATTGAACTCGTGTACCAAGTCTTTATTAAAACGAATTGCAGGGAATCGAAATGCTTTCACTTGGCTCCTTCAAGACCGGTGCAATTCTCTTGGTAAGAAATTCTGTTGGTTTATATGATTCTCTTACCGTTTTACGACATCTCTAGGTTGTCTTAGCTGACGTGGATATTTTTGAAAAATTACAGAGCGGGCTTTTTGTATACGACATATTTTGGGTCTTTTTTACCCCTGTGATGGTTAGCGTTGCTAAATCTTTTGATGCTCCTATAAAGGTCTGTACATCAACTCTATTTAATCATCCACTTTGTCATTTTGTAGGTAAGAATTTATCTATTATGAATTATAATAATAATAATAATTCCGTTTATGCAGCTTTTATTCCCTACATCAGATTCTGCACGCCCGTTTTCGATGTTAGGACTTGGTGATATAGTGATTCCCGGTATGTAAAGTTTATTGAATTTGACATGAACTTCTTGTTTGTGGGGTTGACCAAATTTTGAAAGTTTGACTTCCATTTTTTTCAGGAATATTTGTAGCTTTGGCATTAAGATACGATGTTTCGAGAGGGAAAGAGAGCGGATATTTTAGGAGCGCCTTTTTAGGTTACATAGTCGGTTTGGTCCTCACCATTTTTGTAATGAACTGGTTTCAAGCTGCACAGGTGAATATTCATTTTTCAAAAAAAAAACAAAAGGATTTGTTCGAACATATATATCTTCATTCTTTTTATTATTGAAATGGTTTTCGATCTTCTTCTAGCCTGCACTGCTGTATATCGTTCCGGCAGTTACTGGATTTTTGGCTGCACATTGCTTATGGAATGGGGAAGTTAAACACGTGAGTCGTTTATAATTATTTCTAATTCTCAATACTCTGAATAATTGACGTTGCGTCGCTCTTTGTACAACATATAATATTAATTTATATATATTCATAACTGTTGCGCAGTTGTTGGAGTTTGACGAATCTAAAACAACTAGCTCTGAAGAAACCGTCGCAGACTCGAGCAAGAAAGAAGAATGAGAGACTGATTGGTAGATACCTTTTATTTATTTATTTAAGAACATGTGAATTTTTTTAGTAGTCAAACTAACTTATTCACCACAGATATTGTTGTACCAGATTTTGTTAATTAATTAGAAAACATATTATTATGACTTGATTGTTTTTTCTATGTAATTAATTAGCAGTTTTCCGATTAATGTACGAAAAACACAGTTAAATATGCACATAATCACGTACACAAGTACGTGAAAATTCTGTAAAATAGGTAATTACCTTACCAGTTCTTTATATGGTGAGATTTATAACCGGTGAACTTTCGTCGAATTTAGTTTTTTACTCAAAAAAAAAAAGTCGAAAAATGCTAATTTCAACCCTATTCGACCAAACAAAAAGAAAGAACTCTACTAGGATCATCCATATATTCATCAAAAAAAAGTTGATTAAATGCTAATTTCGACCCTATACGACCAAACAAAAAGAAAGAACTATACTAGGATCATCCATATATTCATCATATATACCTATACCCGTTTTCTTTTTCACTCTACCGAAAACCAGTGAGATTTCTTCAGGTGTAGCTCTGAGGAAATTCGTTCCTCGTTCTTTTATGAACCTATAATAAAGTAAACATGTGTTAAGAAAAAAAAAATGTTTGATAGAACTATTTATTTATCAACGTTGAAAACTTTATTAGTGAATCATAACCTGATTTTCATTTGTTATCTCCGTCCACCTTTCCGCGTATGTTCTTCCATCCTGTACACGCAATTATTGAAGTAAAAAAATATCAGCCCAAAGTTAAAAGAAAAAAATAATAAAAAAATGGCGAAACTTAGCGAGAGGAAAACGTAGAACCTTTGCATTAGTCTGTCTGTGGTGAACTTGGTCGAAAGAATTGTGAATTTTAAAGTCTTTCACGGTCAAATTTTCAATGTTTTCTCCCTTGGAAATATTTCCGCCCACATCGTTATACTTTCGGAAAGTGGACTCTTTTTCCCTGTTCAAAATTTCGCCAAAAGGTTGCATGGAAGCCATTCTCTTTCCTTCAACACCGTATCTGTACCTCATTCCATAGTTGTCTCTATTCTCACCGCCAAATATATTTTCTGTGGCAGAAACTTCATCCAATGGTAAGAAAGAGTTCATTCTTGCACCGTAGGCACCATTATTAGGCAAAGAGTTGTTCTGCTTAAACGCCTGGTGAATGTAACTATTGGGAATATCGGATCCTTGCGGTTTTGTTGAACGAGTTCCGTCCGTGTTGGAACTCTGAGAAGCCATTCTGGAGTTGTACCCACACCCCTGTAAAGATTTGATATAAACAGGCAATATATAACTAAGACATGTTTTAAAGCATAATTGATTCCAACTCGAGGAGAAAAATCGGTAAGAATGAGAAAAAAGGAAAAAAATTATGATATTAGAATGAAAAGTAACGAAATTATCCAGCTCAACCAAGCGTTTCTTGAAACACCAACTTCAAGACTTGTCAGAAATTATTCCGAGAAATAAAAAAATAAAGGGAAATTATATCCACAGATTCACTTGCCTTGCCAAAATTGGGATGCTGGTGGATTTTCGGATAATCGGGTGAGGTGGCAAGAACATCTTCTTCAGCATAGCAAGTTGCTGACAATAATTCACATTAGAAGAAGCAAGAATCAGAAGAACCCGGTCAATGACGAGAAGAGATACAAACGGTTAAAATTATACGTACAGTGAATCAAAGCAAAACATCACATAATAATATATAAGATCTTTAATCAAGAAGGAAACACGAAATGGTTGGAAATTCAATACCATACACATACAGCACAAATGATGATGAGGCATTTGTGCCGATACGAGAAAATGACATGACAAAGGGAATCTTTCAAAGCCTATATTGGCAGATGAGTACTCAAATTAGTACTTTTCTGTGCATTTTAACCCACTAAGCTTCCAGTAGAATCATGATTCTTGAACCCAAGAAAGACCACCACAAAACACGCTTAGTACTGCATTCTTCTCTAACATGCACACACTCACTACTTCAAATCTTTCATACGCAGTCATATCATGTTAACCCTCATATAATTCTTTCAAATATAAACAACTAAGATTGAATCATTGTAAAGAACGAAAATAAAAACTTAAGCATAGTAATTTCCAACTCACCACGAGGGGACTCAAATGCACCGGGCGGAAGTAGGTCAAACTCCACAGAAAGTGGTGGGCCATCCTCCCTATAATGCTTTCCCATCTGCTTCATGACTACAGTTACAGCGCTCATCTCGTGTTGACCCTTGACTTTCAAGTAACCCGATCGACCAGGCCTGGTTTTCACATCCATCAGAGGATATTTCGGTGTAAAGTAATTCGAAGTCGCCATATCCAATGTGGGGTCACCACCTGTACGATGATTAGACATATCGCGCAACGAAGAACTACTTCCCGAATATGCATCATGTCCCTGTTTTTTGATGCTTCCACATGAATCTTGCCTGGGCCCACTTGACAGGTCGTGCTTTCTGATTACGTAGTTATCGGCATTTGTCATTAAACTCTTGTCTTTCAATCTTTGATGACAAAACCACTCGGAAACTTGCTTCTCTGACAAACCTATTGACTCTGCGAGTTGTGTTTGTATCGACTCTGGAGGGTACTTGTGTTCTGGAAAAAGAAATGAAAAAAAAAGAGATTATTTAAGAAATTGCGTCGGGAAAGATACGTAAATTTCGAGTTGTGATGTAACAATAAAAGGGATTTACCGTTGTAAAATTTCTTCAATACTTGAACCTGAGCATATGTCTTTACAGACCTTTTTGTATTGTTGTTCTCATCCAGAAGGGCTTTATCATCTTCAGAATGCATCTCATGTGATTGTTCGTCGTTAGGCACTGAAAGAAAAAGGTAGCAAGTAATAAGATGATCGGATAAACTGGGGAAAACAAATCAATGGCTGATTCTGCAAAAGCATATTTACTGCCGTTTTATTGAAATGATAAATGTTATCTTGATTGTGCACACAGAATCTGCAACAACAGCCAATCGTTTCAATAACAGGCATTTTGAAAAAAATGTATAAAGTTGACACAGCTGCACGAACAAAATCATGTCGTATAATTTTAACAAAATGAATCTCCATACATGAAGTAGATATCACAACTTAAAGTATATACATGAATGTTTTATACTCTTAATGTCATGTAACAAAGATTATCTTCGGTTTTTCAGGTTCACTCTTTCGTACCATTCTGTATATACATTTGAAGTCTGTAAACACGATAAGGTTGTTGCACTTTACACTAAGCAACTAACTGAACCGTACATAAAACTCAGATCGAGACACATTATCCGTTTACTGATGCTTCCATCTAGATTGTAAGATCTTATGTTTTTCGTTAACAATCCAAAAATAAATGGGGAAGCTACTAGGAAAAGATACAGATAACAGTTTAATCAAGATACACATTCAGCAATTTATCCGGATTTTTTACATCAGTCGATCAGTAAGCTAGTTCACAAACACGATTAACCACAGTAAAAAATATACCCTAATTACAGAGATTGCTTTTGCCATCTGCAAAAATGAACAATGCAAAAGCAGTTCCCTCTCCCATGAAAGCAGTTTTCCCATACCAATGTTCTAGATGAATCTACTGTGTGACGTGTGCACAAATTCAAACGAAGAGTTCGCGTAAACAAACTCAAATCGCCGCCATTTTTTTTTTCACCAACAAAAGTTGAAATCAAACCACAGAAGAAACAATCGCCCAAACGATTAGCAGAAGAATCAAAATGAAAAATGCACAAAATTAACACACTGCTCCATCATCATGAACTGCATTGAAAATCAAAGCCCTAAAAAAAAAAGACGCATACCTTCATTCATGGCTCTTTCTGGTGTGTGATGTTTCTGCGTTTACAAATTTTCTACATTGACCCATCAACATTTCACCAAACGCCACTAGGTGACAAAATTCAAGCAACTCTAGAGAGAGAAAAAAATGAGGGAATCTTTCTGGGCCGGGTTTGCTTGAGTTTTTAGAGAGAGAGAGAGAGAGAGAGGGGTTTCCTGTTTGTTTGGCTGTGTTGAGAAAAAATTAATTTTGTTAATGGCAGCTTTTCTGATTCATCTTCATAAATGTTGTCAGTAAGTACTTAATTAGTACTTACCGGTAATTCACACACACACAGGTTTTCTTAATTGCAGATGATTATGTTAATCTTCTGCATAAATATTCTTAATCATCATTGTTTATTCATCATTAAATATTTAACTTGCAAAAAAAAAAAAAAAACAAGTCGTAGTGTTCATGCACCGAGAGATGATGAAATGCTATTTGCGGTCACAAAATTGCTATTCGCGGTTTATAACAAAACCCCCCAAAACTTTTAAAAATATCCAAAAACCCCCCAAAACTGCAAATAGCAAAAAAAAAAAAAAAAATCGAAAATTCGAAATCAAGCTTGAAGAAGGGTTGGGCTTCGATTTTTTGATGTAATTTCGACTCTTTTATGTGTAATATGCATTGGGTAGGTCAATTATGGAACCAATTTCATGTTAAAAAGCCCTACAAATCGATTTGTAGGGTGTTTTTTTTCGCAAAAAAATAGTCGAGTGCCCATCTTGGGCGTTCGAACATTTAAAAAAAAAAAAAAAAAATTGCACTGGACGCCCAACTTGGGCGTGCACTGCATCAATGGCCGCCCAAGTTGGGCTTCTACACATTTTTGGGGAGTTTTTGGATTTTTTTGGGAAGTTTTGAGGTTTTAGTGAAATAAAATGTTTTTTCGGGGATTTTGTTATAAACCGCAAATAACAATTTTCAAATCGCAAAAAGCAATTCCCTTGATTATTGCACCAATTGTTTCTCTCTCATTTGTCACACTTCAACATATATATATTTTTTTCAAATTTATTTTTAAATGGAATATTTTTTAGATTATATTATTTCAAACAACAATACATAAAGGAGGTGATAAATGTCGTTCGAGCTTTAATAATACCGTTACGACTTCAAACGTGATTTTGATTATTTTTAATTCCAAATTTTACAAAACCCGAAAAATAGAATTTGTAGTATTCTGAGTTAGTTTTATAGTCCAACTTGAATCACCAAAATTGGATGTCGGACGAGAAAAATATACATGAATCAATGGATACTGCACACAACTTTGATGTATTGAGGTATCTAAAATTCAAAATGTGACTCATTCATGCATAACTTTGTTACACGACATCCAATCTAGCGGATTTAAGTTGGATTAGAAAGCTAACCCAAAGGACTACAGTTTTCGTGTTTCGAATTTTGGTAAAATCAAAATAGAAATATATCAAAATTAGGTTCGAAGTCAAAACAACATTAGTAAAATTAAAACGACATTTAACATCTCAGATACATAAATTATTACATATATTTTTTATTGCATAAATTATTAGTGTAGTCGATAATCGCAATACAGTGAATAAAAAGGACAAAATGGGCCTGGGATATTCACGTAAGCCCGGCCCATTAAGTTTTTTGATTCTGGCCCATTAATTTATTAACCCAAATGATAGAAAGATGGGGTTGTCTAGGGTCCGAGAGGGTTGTACTTCTCGGACCGTAAGAGATGTAATCTGGTGCGTACAATTTCCTTAAATTTCAATCTCATCCGTTGATTAATTTGTACGACTCAGTACGATCTAGTACGATATTATAAATTTTAAAATTAATGTACGAACCTAGTAAAAAAACATCGTACACTATCGTATACACATCGTACTTTATATAAATTACTTAATTAACCTTATAAACTCAAATTAATAAATTGAAAAACCTTTTAAAAAATATTATAATAATCATAACTATTAGTTAAACTTAAAGTGAAACCCCCCACCACTTCTCCCATTTTCTTTCGAAAAACTCTTGCAGTGCTTCCACCATTTCATTTCTTCTTCAGCGGCACTGACAGTCAATACTCAACCAAGGAGATATGGATGGGCTCAGCCGCAATAATCAATCCAAGTTATGGGTGTATTTGGCTTTTAGAGGCGACACAGTGAATTTGAATTGGGGATGGTTCAGATTGAAGGAATGTAACATTTGGGGGAAAGTATGTCTGGGCTTGGAATCTCGGGTACGAATCAATCCCCTTATTTTTTTATAAGATTTAAAATATTTGGAATTTTTATACAAGTTATATTTAAGTAAGATTTAAAATATTTGGAATTTTTATACGAGTTGTATTGTGAATCGGAGTCGAGAAAGTAAGATTCAAAATATTTGAAATTTTTATACGAGTTATATTGTGAATCGGAGTCGAGAAAGTAAGATTCAAAATATTTGGAATTTTTATACAAATTATAGTGTGAATCGGAGTGGAGAATTGAAGTAAACCCTTGCAGAGTCCTAAATTTTCATGTGCATCTTTAGTATTAAAACAATCGTTCAGACTCCATCATCTATAGAATTCGAAAACCCTAATTATGTTCTATTTATTTGGTTCTTGATTTGGTTGGTGCAGGATTAATTGTTGTAGCAGTGTCAGGTCAAAAATCATCACAGCTCTCTCCTCCATCTATTTTTAAGCCGGAGACAATTTCGGGATAAATTATAGATTCAGAACTCCATCGAGCCGTAGAGAACTTTGAGATAAATAATAGATTCAGAACTCCATTGATTTTTCATTCGGCAGCCTCTCATGTAAGTGATTAAATTACGTAAACCATATATATGCAGGTTTTTCAAAAGCAAGAGATTCTAATAATTTCAAAATTGATGTTCGATTATAGTTGTAAATATGTATATAAGACGTATTTTTTTCGTAGGGGTGATAAAAAACCTAATAATCTAAAGCGCAAATTGAGCTACAATGATTCGTATATGAAAACTAGTCACAAGTCTGTGAAGATTGAGTTGCCATCCGCATTTACAGAGTCCAGCATGGTATCGTATCTTCTTTTTTGATTTTGCACCTTTTCAAAATTTGTTCAATTATTCTTATTTACGAATTTATTATTAATAGGATACGAAGAGTGCAAAAGCCTGGAATAACAGCGGCAAAGGTTATAAATTGTACAGCGAGAGACATCACGTGAAATGTGATGAGTTTCTTAACCGAAATGTATGAATTTATTTCAACAGTACGAAATAGCTTAATCTATATAGTGCTCTTTTTTTCAAATTTAACCATTGTAGGTTCATAATTTGTTTAGGTTCCAAAGCTCGAACATAGAACTTCACTCAGAAAGTTGATAGAGGTAAATAGAACTCTAGACAAGTCTCAAATAGGATGCGTTGAACTAATGGGATTTGGAGCTCTGACTAGAGTTGAAATTGATCAACTAGATAGAGAGGTGCTAAAATGGATAATATACAATTATGACCCGGAAAGTAGCACCCTTAACATTCGTAGTCGTTGTTATAGCGTGAATGATGAAGATGTTAAAATTGCACTTGGTGTACCGGCAACTTCTCAAACCATTATACTACACACTAAAGGCACCGACGGACTGAAAAAATATGGACATCTTTTTAAAATCATTGATGGACGTATAGACATAGTAACTTTAGTAGGGAGTCTTAAACAATGCACTAGTGCTGGTGACGAATTTAAGGTGATGTACTTGGCACTACTATTTGGCACGGTATTATTTCCAAGTACTCAACACAACTTGCCGGTACATTATCTGAATCCACTGGTTGTCATAGAGAATATTAAAGAGTTGAATTGGGCCGGTCTCATCCGAACAACTCTAAATGAAGGAATCAGAAAGTGGAAGAATACAGAACATGCATATATTGGTGGATCTTTGGTTTTTCTTCAGGTACAAATTTAATTAAGATTTAATCAAGGATATACAGTACAATAATTACATTTGAGACACTCGTTTCATAGAAATGATAATTGTTTTTTTTTTTTTTTGTCATTTACAGGTGTTCTTCTTTGCGATCGTACGCCCTCCTGGTTCACATTATGTTTTCAATTTAGCATTTGAAAGGCCTTTCATAACGTTTTTAACGAAACAAAGGGTTAATTCATTGACTGATGATATACACAAAGATGTTCCATACTGGAATGCCATGGTAGCTTATTTAAAATATTTTTCTACCTTTTGAATATTTTATTGAAAAAAGAATATTTACACTTTGTGTTCGAACTTTTTTATAGGAATGCTACTTTGCTTTGAATGAAATCTCCACGCCGAACCCCGTGGATGAGACAAAAGTGAGAAAAGAAGATATTGATACAAGTGAAAATGAATTGAACGAAATACATGATGTGAGGGGTGAAGAGTTCATGGATTTCAATGTGGATTTAAATGTGTTAGGTGATCATCGTGTACATGGAGATTCACCTAGTGATCGAGAAAAATCATTGAACAACCAAGGTGAAACTCGTGAATTGAAAGAGGATGTGGTCTGCAATTATCGGGTCACCCAACAAATCGGGAATGCATACGATGACTCTGACATAAAAAATCAATTGTCGCTGTTGATTGCACGAGTAAGTAATATCGAGAGACAAGCAAAGTATGTACAAGATGACTTTTTCATAAGAAATCAATTATCATTGTTTGGTGCACGATTAAGTGGTTTCGAGCAACAAATGACTCAGTTAATGAATACCATGGGTGAGGTGCTGATCCGATGTGTCACCCGATCTGCCAGTGGAGATCAATTTGGGGACCAGCCAAGTAGTCAAGAAAATGTTGATAAATTCAAGGATGTACTTAAAGAACTGAAAATTTTAGAGTTAAAAATTCCATCAATGATATGGGATACATGGGATGTAATATGTCGCAAGGCAAACAATGCACACATATCATCAAACGTTACCGGACAAAAAATCGAGGTAGATACCGTATTGAAAAAAAAAATAGACGAAGATACCGCGTTGAAGCAAAAAATAGAGAAAGATATCGCATTGAAGAAAAAAATAGAGGAAGATACTGCGTTGAAGCAAAAAATAGAGGAAAATACTGCGTTTAAGCAAAAAATAGAGGAAGATACTGTGTTGGCAAAAAAACTAGAGAAAGATACCGTGTTGGAGAAACAAATAGAGGAAGATATCATTTACATCCACGAAAATGAACAACTTATTAGCGCAAAAGAGAAAGAAAGTCCAATAAACCCTATAGGAGCAGACTTCGACGCCATAATCAAATTCTTGTTTGATCCAAACTTGGATCAGAGGTAAGGCAAAAAATAATAATATGCATGTTTAATACATTTTTTTTAATTTTCTTTTGTCTCATATAATTGGGCAGTACTTGGGTGATAAACTTTGGAGGACGAGGATGCAACAGGAAGAACTTGATGGGCTTGAAGCCTTGTGAATTCATAGATGGAATTGTAAGCATGCTCATAACCCTTTCCTTTTTTTAACCAATAATATTTTGAGACTTGTCTACTAACTGTACATAAATAAAATATTTGAAATGTAGGTGATAGATTGTGTAGCATTTTTGTGCACACGAAAAAGTATAGAGGGTAGAATGGAAGATGCTCGATGGTACTTCCCCGCAATATTTGCCGTATGTCTATGTTTAATCTAATTTTTCAATAACCCCATTCGATAAAATTTTTAGTTTTTGTATTATAAGTATTCATAATTTATTTTGTTGCAGCAACTTTGTTTGACTGGAAATTTTCCCGATGAGCATATCATAAACACCATTGATTATTGTACAAGTCGAATGGATGATTGTTATCAGATATACTTACCAGTAAATGATCTCCGTGGTCACTGGTTCCTTGCAATTATTGACTTTGATAACAAAGAGGTCAACATTTGTGATTCAGCAGCATCGAGAGAATCAAATAATTATAGGAGAGATTTACTCGATCAAGTGGTTGGTTAAATATTTAAAATTATGTCTAAGCATAATTCAAATTGTCCTATTTATATATTTTTTAATTGCAGATTATTCGAATGGAGCATTTGATACAAAAATGGAGACCAAAGGAGTACGCAATAAAAAACATAAAAGATAGTTTCAGTTATGAATATCCAGACTGGGTTCCTAGACAACCAAACGGGTATATATATATAATAATAATAATATGTTAAATTGTCAGTGTTTTGTTTATCATCATTAACTAGTGTGGCTAATATGACAGGTACGATTGCGGACTATATGTTTGCTTGATAATGATGTTTGAGATGGGGGCAAAACAATTATCAGACGTAAACATTGTTATTAGATACTTTATAACTTTAATGTCTATAAACATCCTCATTTTAATTTTGTTCTAATGAATCTATTTCTTATTAGGAACAATCGATCGGTGCCCGACAACAACTTGCCTATGATCTCTACATAACCGAACATAATAGGTTTGCCTGGCCGAGATAGGATTTTCTATGTTTGATCTAGACGTTCGATAGTAGTAAGTAAAATTATATTGTACTTATGTTATCTATGTATTGCGTTTTATATTACTGTAGTTCTTTCAAGGTACAGTTGTAGGGTTAATTCATTTGCTTGTTATGCCTTGACAGGTATTATTGAATTCTAGCTTATGATCTCCATGGGCAGTTACTCTCGTATGCATTATGGAGTTTGATAAACAAAATTATTTTTCTGCTTCGAAATTTGACTCATATACTCTCTATTTTTTTTCCTTCTTGTTTATTAAATTAGTTGCACGTGTATCCGAAGACTGGATTTTTATTAAATTTGGATTTTTTGAGTTTTTTAAGATTGTGCTATCGTGGTTGGTTCGTCAGATTGTTATGATTAGTTGCACAGTCGGCCAAATATTTTTTTTCCTTCCCTTTCTAAATTTTTGAAATATACTATCCGATTTCACTGCTTCCTCATCATTATAATCTTCTTCATAAAGTACGCAATCTGGTTCAGTGGCACATGATTGGTTCAAAAAGGTCATGTTCAAAAATTGTTATCTAATCAAGCTCACACAAACATGCTGGTAATTAAATAGGATCAACTTAACCCTTCGATCATTAAAATTAGCTGAATAGGATTTCTAGAGGTAAAGTGCTACTAAATAAATATATTCACATGTTATCATCAAATTGTAAATATCAGAAGGCAGATATCCAATTCAATATTTTTTGGAATCGCCTCAATCAATTCAATATTATTGCACAGATCAAATTCAATAACCACTGAGCTTTAAATTGAAACAAAAATTTGCCCAATAAATAGACATAAGCTGTGATCTGCCTCAATGAAATTAAATATTATGCACACATAAAGTTCAATAACCAATGAGCTTTAAATTGAAACAAAAATTTGCCCATAAATAGACATAAGCTGTGATCTAAAAAAACATGCAACAAAAATCAATAAAGTAGCTGGAAATAAATCGTATAAATTTCATTTGATAAAAGGAAAATCAAAATTTCAATAGCTATTCAAAAAATGAAAAAAAATTCATCAAAATATAAAACTACCAGATGTTTCTACTGAATTTTGAGAACAATCTTGTTGTTTACCACTACTTTTTTTAGGGCCGGACTTCTTGGCATGAGCATTAGTACGTCGAGAGGCAGTGCCGGGATTAGAAATACATGTGCTAGCTTTATGCCCAAGCTCCCTTTCAAAAAAATAGCATAACAAACAATAAGTACTATTGACAACAATAAATATTAGAAGACATGAGTTGGCTTAAAATAAACTCAAAGTACACACATACCCGCAAAAACTACATTTTTGTTGCTTTGCACGACTTGCCCCTCTCGTCTTTATTCTTTTAGGATCATTGACATTGCTAGATTTTGCACATACTGGGGGATCGTCAACATTTTCAAAAGATATGTTATCAGTACTGACGTCGTGCTTTGAGAATTCTTCGGCTGCCTCATTGGAAAATTTTCTTACTTGCGTGAGGCAGTCAACAAATTTGGACTCCGTGTGAGACGATAGGTAAGACAATTTAAGGAACTCCTTATTTAAATGCGCAAAACGTGTTTGTTGACGACCAACTACTGGGGTAGCTTCATAAAACTTACTTTTCAGTATTTTACCCGCATCAAGAAGCCAACGAGGATGTATACTTTTTTCTGGAAACTCCGTCATACGCATAAACTTGAAGGACGATATGATATGTCGGCAGGGCACGCCCTCAGACTCAAGCTTCAGGCAACTGCACGCGAAGTTACCGTTAAACTTGTCAACAGTTACATAATACCGTGCATCATCAGGTTTATTGTAATTTTTAAATACAAATTTACAATGTTCTTCACTTATCTTAATATGACTTTCCACCAAAAGACCTTGCTCTGCTTCAATCTCCTCACGTATCATTAAGAAAATTTGTTTCGTGCATATACTAGCAGCATGTTTCTCAAGCCCTTGCAAAGGACTCACTCTGACAGCAGGCTTGAATTTCTCTAAATTGTCTTGCTGACTAAGGAAAGAACTTCTTAACCCTTGTATCTTGCGTTGAAATTGATTTACAAACTCGGCAAAACTCATTCTTTGAGTGACCGCAAGTTTGACCAGTGAGTTCATAGATTCAGCCCTCTGAGTTGTACATGCCATGGCCATAAAATGTCCACGAAAATATGCCTCTGCCCACATCTTTTTTTTATTGTACATGTCAATAACCCATTGCTTTTCTGCAACCTCATACATCTCAACCATGTTAAGCCAACTTATCTCAAACTCGTCAATGGAGCACGGTTCCTTCAATAATCTCATAAAATCAGAACAAAAATCTGCCACTTTTATATTTTGTCGGACATTTCTCCCAAGATGCCAACTACAAAGCCTATGTTTCGCTCCAGGAAATTCTGATGAAATTGCTGCTACCATAGATGAGTCCTGATCTGTTAACACAGAACCCGGAACTTTGCCATTCATTGCCTCAAGAAAAGCTTGCAACAACCATCGATATGATTCAATTGTCTCGTTGTACATAAAAGATGCACCAAAAATAAACGTCGAACCGTGATTGCTGGTACCAGAAAAAATAACTAGAGGATAAAAATACTTGTTTGTCTTATACGTACTATCGAATATTAAGACATCACCAAATAATTCATACTCAGCCCTGGAAGCTCCATCGCACCAAAAAAGTTTTGAAAGTGCCCCTTGATCATTCACTGTGTATTTGTAAAAAAAATTGCTATCTTTTATTTTCATGCTTTCAAATAAAGCTAATGACGTGTTCACATCACCACCTTCAATTCTTTTTAACCGCATATTGTTCAACCAATTGTAACCATCTTTTCTTGTGAAAGACATTTTTCCAACACCCCCAACAAGTTGCTCCAACAAATCCATAGCTTGGCACGGCCTAAACCCGGCATCTGTAATTAAATTCAGCATACACTTGTCGGACATTGAAATGTACCTATTAGTAGAATCAAATTATGAATTTTAAAAAATTGATGCAACTAACAATAAACGTTGCGACTAAAATAAACTAGTAGATTATGTACCTCTTCTTGTAACCTCGTAAATCGTGATTATGTCGAGGCTCAAACTTTGTCACTGAATAATGCCCTGAAAAACGGTCATGTGCAACACGAAAGCATGCTATACAACCACACCTGGTCACCACTTTTGCCTCTCGCTTTCTAGTATAGTCGTCTTTCGGTCGTCTGCGGAATCCCTCGCATGTGCACACCCATTCCCTGTACTTTATGATATCATCAGCGGTTTTGCGTTTTACACCTTGTTTCCTAATGCCAAAACCAACTACACCGGCATACGTTGTGTAGAATTTCTCTGCATCATCAAGACTTTCGAATACTAGTTGTCTGACCGCATCCTCATTGATATTATCAAAATTGAAATTAACCGAATCACCTATATCATTAATACCATGATAGTGGATATCATCATCCTTACTGTCATGCATGCAATTACTTTCATCGTTATTAGAAGGTGAAATTGGTTTCTCATTTGTAGTATCAAAATCCATCGTCCCTACAACATATGATTTTGAAAAAAATAAATAAAAGGATTTTCACTAAAATTTCTAATATAGGATAAAAAAAATTCTAGCAGGTATTTAGTTATAATTTATAATTCAAGAAAGTTAAAAAATGAACTCTCAAACTATTAGAGGACCCTTCTTCATTCACTTATTAAAAAAAATTATGAAATAGAGCAACAATATGACAAAGAGCTTTAGACCAATTGATATGTATTGGAAATCAATAAAATTTCATTGTGTCTTTTTATATATATGGGACTTGGTGTTGATGAACTTGTGTTCCGAGTTGGTGGATTCATATACCAAGCAATTGACAAAAAAATATGTGTTTCTCTTCTTAAGCTTCTAAAGCTGCAAGTAATTCACAAGGTTCAAACTCAAGTATCCAACTACCACAAAAACAAAAAACAAAAAAAAAAAAAACAAAAAAAATTAATTGCAAAACCACTTAACTATCTTAAATTCAAGTTTTCGAGCTACCACAAAACAATTGTATTCAAAGATAGCAAAATCACTTTAAGTGCCACACCACTCTTCAGAAACATGTTTAAATACATAAACATAGATGCAACAGGGCCAACATAATAAAATACATTAGAATTGATTGTGGAATCGATATAACAAAGAAAATATAAAATAAGAATTTAAATCCGATACTTACCAAATTACAGAGTTGAGTCTTTGGAAATCTTCTCGTGGTTGACGGCCCACTCTGGCGTACGTGGTGCCTCGAATCTCGATGAATCTTGTTGTTGAAATCCCGCTCTCCCAACGAAGAGATCTGAACAAAAAACCTGACGCTCTCGAAGGGTGTGTACAAAGCTCGCTTCTAACCCAATTCAAATAATAATCAACCTGAATTTAGTAGAATACCTCCGACATCCCCAATAAAAGTGTAGATTTTTATGGAAGTTCTCCTTGAAAAAAAAGCAACGAAACACTATTAACGTTACCAGATCGCAAAAATCTGCTATATGTCGCCGTGGAAACCGGATGAACACCGTGGCAACCGGATGAACAAGGCTGGTCGGCGGGCGATGGGATGATAATTGGGCAGTCGGGGTTTTAGGAATTGGAATTGATTTATTTGTGGGGAGAGATGCCCAATCGTTCGCCGAAAGAAGAGACGCCGGTATTGATTTATTTGTGGGGAGAGATGCCAATCGTTCGCCGGAAGAAGAGACGCCGCTGAGAGAGGAGAAAGTTTTCAAACACAGAGCAAGAAAACTTATTTTCTCTGTAATCGATGATTATAAAAATTAGGTTATTATTTAATGATAATTATTCATCTCATTAAAGTTTAGTTATTAATTATTAAACTATGCATCGTACATTTTTTTTTTATTAAAAATTAGGTTATTATTTAATATTTAAGTTTTAATTATAAGGGTTTTAATGTAATTTTATTTATAAGATAGGCATCGTACATTTTTTTATTGGGTTCGTACTAATCCTACATGGCGCAATTCTATTGGCTAATTACGGTCCGAGAAGTACAACCCTCTCGGACCCTAGACAACCCCTAGAAAGATTTGCGCCTACAACAGTTCGAATTCACACACACACACACACAACACAGTCCCTCTTATTTCAATCACGCGCGCGCGTTCGTACTACGAGGATTTACATCTGATCAATCCGAGAAATTAAAGGTATATATTTCTTTCTGGACACTAGAATTTGATAAATTGATTCTTCAGTTTTCAAAATTCTATCGTTGTTCTTTGTTTTCTCCTGTTCCGAATTTTTTTCTTGTCTGTGTGTGTGTGTGTGTGAAGCTGTGCTCTGTATTATGATGGGCATAAATTTTGATTTTCAGGGTGCTTTGTTATCTAATCCGATATGCACACAAGATGTTTGTCAAAATGTCACTTCCGTACTGTGTTTTGCTGTAATTTTATTCTGAAGTTTAGAAACTTGTTCTAGCTTTCAGCACTCGTAAGCTCTAACAATTAGTGGCAAACAGTATTTCCGTTGTCAATTGGATGAACTACCATTCTTGTAGAAGCATAAATTGGAAGGAATTCCACTTTAAATACAGAACAATTGACACATTTGACATTGTCATTTCACATCTTGCTGAATTTTTTTGGGTATAACTTGTATGTTCGTGGTCGTGTTTTATGTATTTTTCACTAACCTCGGAATTTCTTGGTGTAGTAACTGTCATATATTTTTCTATTTGCAGTGTGGTAAAAAAATATGGAAAGACCCCTCACTCTAAAGCCACTGAGCATCCAAGACGAAAATTCTGCCATCCATCGTAAAAGTACGACCTATATTCTGTTGAATTTTTCGGCTCTGAAGATGTTACTTTGTTATTGAGATCTTTCTTTATATCTAACCTGTTTATATTTTGATATTCTAAGCTGAACTTGATTTCAAGTAAGTAGTAAACAATTTAGACCTATTAAGAACTTTCTATGACTCTCCTTTCGGGAAATACGATATGTATGTTACAAAACTAAAGTTGATTTATTTTTGCAGAGGTTGTTATTGATGGTAAATCCAAGACCTCCAGACCAGTTTCTAAGAAGGGTGGAGTTCTACTCGAGAGTCGTAAAGCTCTCAACGACATTACAAACAAGTCATCCATTCATATTGAAGCATCATCACAGCAAAACACTTCTCGAAATAAAAAGTGTAATCATGTAGTTGAGGCCGAGGCACTGTCGAAGAAAAAGAGTTCAGTAAATGAGAAAATTAACATTGCGGAAGAGGGTTTCTTGCACGACCATAGTAAGTGCATTGAAGCACAAAAGGCAACATCGGAACTTCATTTCTGGGACACGGTTCTTCCTGGACATGGTAAATCGTTCAAATGTATGATCTGTCTTAGTGTTATGTTTTTTATTTCACTTTATTTCTTAGTATGGTTTGAATAACATTACCCGAACTCCTTGCTTCCTCTATTCTCCTTGGAAGTTGCATCTGAGCTCTGTACTCTGTTTATGATTTCTGTAACATCACAACGGGTGGTAGCATGATTCTGGATTTTTAATGTGCAGTTACATGCAATGCTAGCTGAAACTTTTGTTACTTCAGAACGAACCTACGGTTCATTCTTAGTTTGAATTTACGCAATGAGTTCACAAGTCTCTAAGATCATTTTTTTTTGTGCAGATTCTGCAAATATTAATAAGGAACTAACTAAGGTACGAAATTTTCAGATAACATTTATTCCATTTAACTCGTGTGCCTTCGTAACGACAACTGAATCTTGATATCTTACTTGCCATTTTTATCTGATTTTTAGATCGATCCCGAAATTAGTAGCACGAGCAGCTCTTATATGGAACTGGAAGAGTTGTCCATGTCAGAGTTTTCCGATTGGTTCGAGTCTCCTCCCTCTTCACCAATAAGCCTGGATTCTCAACCAACCTCTCCATTTGCATGGGACCTTGTTACAGTTGACTTAATCCTCAAGGAAGATTGCCATGATGATGATGATGTCAGACGATCCAAGATTCTTGATAATTGCACGACATCAATTTCGAACTTATGTTAGACCATTTCATTTGTATTCAATTTCCAGAAGCTGGAAAATTGATGCCCTGAGATTTTTAATGTCCTGAAACTTGATGCAAACAATTCTAACACTGAATTGGTCTGCAAGGAACTAGTTGCTCTGTAACCTAGAAAACCTATTACCATCTCGTTTTGTTCGAGTTCTCATGGTAAAGGACATGTACTAAGATATGCTACTTGCTACAAAATTTTCTCAATCAAGAAAAAACAAATTCAATATTGGTAGCAGTATAAATCCATGAAGGATTTCCAAATAATATTTATTACCCGGCTCGAATAATTCTCATAGATCGTTGCGTAAATAACAAAAATAAAAACTTGGGCAGAAAAGGGTATGGAGATTAATATGAGTGACATCTACCGCAATGTGATTCAGTTCAACTATTTGTTCAAACCCGATGCAAGTTTTACTTCATAAAATAGAAGAGACTAGTAAGATTTTCCACAATGTATTAAGCTTCCAGCTCCCAGGAAAAGTCCAAAAACAGCAGCACTGCCTAACGTTGTCTGTCCGATATATCGTACTTTCATAAGACCTGGAACCTGCATTTTTCACAAGACAAAACCATTCAACTCAAAAGTCTACGAGAACTGGAAAAAAACAATAATGGGTTTTTGCACAATAATAAGTCTTTACAGAACAATGCACTACAAGAATAAAAGCACATTAATTTTTTAGAGATCTTATATTCTCGATTTGACTAAGCATTGATGATCTTTAGCACTTTAAAGACAATTGAAGTAGTCTATGTTAACTGAAGTATATCGAACATAAAAGTAGTACTGTAACTCGAGTCTTTTCCATGTTTTTATCACTTTTTCGAGACTTTCTTTAGTATGGTTCGAGGTTATTAGCAAATTATTTATGATGCGTAGAACAATGCTCTTCTAACGGAATATCAACAACGACCTAAAATAATAAAATTCCAGGGTAATAGAAGACACAAATAAACCATTGATATATTATCTTTTAAACTTTAAAGTAAGACGAGCATTCTGCCTCTCATCCATCATAAGCCCAATTGAAAAAGTCATACGAGCATGGGTCTTATACATCAGTTGTTGGGAAGAGGTGAACTTACCACTGAGATATATCATCTTTAAAGTAAATATATTAATAAAGAAACTAACAAAGTTCAGAACCACAAATATTGAAACCTAATATCCCTAATATCAGATAATATTCGAAAACTGAAAATTCCCCAAAAAAGCACTTTTCATACAACCACATCCACACGACATTCAATCAAATTTCTACTAACCATGCAAACAAGAACGAGATCAAGTGAAGTTCGCTGAGTGACTCTTAACCATACATATGTTATATATACATGCAACTATCCATTTTACAAACATACACACGCACATGGGTGAAATTATATGTAAATCTATGGTGAGATGCTACACGGTGTGACATCTACAAGACCACCACCGGCTTTGACCAGATAAACAACGAATCTGACCCTTCTAAGTATCAAGTTCGATTTACATTTGGGTTTGAAAACATTGGTAATAAATGGAAAACAATGAAAATGAAAGCAACTAGCATCACTCAGAATGATTTACTGCTAAAAAAAACAATCCGAATTCAAAGCTTTTAGAAGAGCTAGTTGCATTTTGAACTTACCTTGTATCTTATGGCCTCGTAAGTTCCATAAACAGCACCTGAGCATTACAGCATATTAAACAACCATCACCACAAACGATCAAACGCTTCATCAAAAGGGCATCGAATATAACAACAAACAAAGATTTAAGTAACTAAATCAAAATCAACAATATATTCCACAAAAGCTAATATCACATGAACAATGCATTCCTTATGGATATAAAAACACCCAAGCGATACGCATTTACAGATGATGCAGATTCAAAACAAGTCTCCTCCCGAACCGAATACCAATAGGAATTGAATTATTGAAACAACATTTTGCAAAAAAAAAATGCATTCACGAGAAATTTGGAAGTCCAATTACAGCAATGGTACAATCTTCCTAGCATTATTGCTATAAGCAAAAAGTCTTTGTGCCGCCCGCGAGATTAATATCCAAATTGCAGATTCAAATTATAAAAACAATAGAGCAAATTTATGAAAAATCTTTCCGAAAGGGTTTATTATACGCGGAGGGAAAAGGGGAAATAGTTGCAGCAGCTAGGGTTTAAGGAGAATTAGGAGACTTTACCCACAGCGCCGCCAACAGCGCCGCCTACGGCGACGCCCGCTGCAATTCGTGTCAGGCAGCTATCCCTCGCCATCTCTCTCTCTCTCTACTGTTTCTCTTTCTAAAATCTACTGATCAGATAGTAATTTTTGTTTATTCTGTTGCTCTTGAGCAAAACTTGAAGGGGCGCTTATATAAACAGCAAAAGCTTTGGCAGAAAGTTATTAAACAAAAACTAATATTTGTTGGATTAATTTATAATTTAAAGATTATTTTATCAACACCCATTTGAAAAATACGGAGTTTTATATTATAAATGTTGTGAATATATAACTTGTATTACTATTTAGTATTTACTATACATTATTAAAATTGGAAAATAGGATTTGTTAAGTAATTAAGCCAAATCATCGTCCTACATAAAATTTTGACATTAAATCCTCAGTTTAGAGAATTGAATATGTACAAAATTTGTAGTTTAATCACCATACTAAGATGCTTTAAATATGTACAAAATTGATTTTACACACACACATATGTATGCATAATAATGCAGTAATGACGTGTAAATACAATATGTATCATGTATTATGTATAATATAGTCATGTATTGATTCGATTTGTACAAGAGATTGTAAAAGAAAAGACTAAGACAATATTTGGTGCCTGGCAAAAAAAGGGTCGATAGTCAAAACTCAGTATGTTGATTTGTTTATATACATCATAATATTGTGCCGATCATTTCTTGCGTGCTGAAAGGGCTGCTGCGATGCCGCCAGCCAAAAGTCCAACAGCAGTTGCAGCTATACCGATCCCAATTACTCCCTCTGTATCGATATTTTTCAAAGGAAAAAAAAAAAGGCGAAAAAACCGATTATTAGTAATGCAAGTTATATTTACAGGTGACGATTTTTTATACCAGTAATAAATGGAGATACAAAGTTACCTTTGGTAATTTTATCTTCAATTGCTTTCTTGAGTGTCAAGGCCTGCCCCCAGTTTGGTGCAATCTGTAATATTGAAACCGAATTTCATGCAAATTTCGTTGAGTTTGTGGATGAAGGATTAGGCAAACTGTATGAAGTAAAAAACAGAAATACACATACAACAGGAGCATAAAGAATCAATGAACATTTTATCTCGACAAACAGTAGAGGAGAATTCGAACCTCCAAACAGCGGTTGGCAAGATTCCTGCTCTTAGCATAGTCGCCATTTCTGTAGTACCCAATACCAAGAAGATAAAGCTTTTCCCTGGCCTCCACAGGGCTGCTAGACCCAGCCAACGAAGCTGCAACCCACAAATTTCACGAGTCAAAAGACTGATATCTAGTTGTGTGAGTGTGTGTGTGTGTGTGTGTGTGTGTGTGTGTGTGTGTGTGTGTGTGTGTGTGTGTGTGTGAGAGAGAGAGAGAGAGAGAGAGAGAGAGAGAGAGAGAGAGAGAGAGAGAGAGAGAGAGAGCGGGGGGATTCTTTGACCAAGATCACCTTCAAGCATATCTATTCCACGTTGGACATCATCCGCGCGTTTTGAGTGAACAAGGGCCCAAGACAAGCGCGTGATGCATTCACTTTTTAGTTTATCGGAAGAACCTTTCTCAGCTTCCGCAACCTCGCGCTCACAGCCCTATAAGATGTGTGTGTAGTGCTCAGTAATAGGCTTAATCAAATGGCAAGAGAGAGAACTCGTATATATACGTAAACACTTTCTGCACGTGTACAAACATTTCTGGGCAGAAACACAGATTAGAAACACGCGACATTACATCTTAGCCACTTCTTCCAATTCATTTTTAGGACCATCCATTTTTTAAGTTTATGCTCCAGAATTACAAAATATACATGGTGGAAAATGAAGTGTGCAAAGAAATCACAGTCGCATATAACGGAAAATTAGATTTCACAAGAACAATCTCCTAATATGTAACTTTCTACAAAACAAGACCTAGTTACTAATCACGGGCAGCAAATTTACGAATACACAAACATAATTCGACGGGGCACAAGTACAGAAGTAAGAAATATTTATCTTTGGTAGAAATTGCAATAACCAGAAAGACAAAGTTCGCAATCATCTAATAAAAACGAAAGCTCCATCCAACCAGGAGACTACAAAAAAGTACGGAATACAAATTGTATTAGGAAATCGCCGTTCTGGTAACGGAGCACAAGAAAGGGGCTACTGTGATTAAACATTTCTCCTTACCGTAAGAAAACAGATACAGTTACTTTTCATTAGAAATTGCAATAAACCCTAGCAGATTCATAATTACCTCTTAAAATATATTGCAATAAACCCTAGCTAGCAACATCATAATTACCTACTGCAATGCATAGCTACTGCAGATATGATTTTTCTTCGAGAAATACCTCTTAAACCCTAGCAACGATTATAATTACCTCTTCATGAAATTGCAATACATAGCTACTACAGAGAGGATCTTGCTTCGAGAAATACCTCTTAAACCCTAGCAACATCAAAATTATCCCCGTAATTCTTTGCTACATTCATAGCTATAAAAACGAAGTGCACAAAAAACAAAAATTAAAATGAAAATACTTACGATGACGATGTCAGAATCACACCAAGGAATTTGATCGGCGCCGGTGAAGAAGCTGCCGACTGAATCGAAGAGTTTCCCAATTTTCGCTTCCATCTTTTTCATCTCTCCTGATGTCAACGCAACTGCTATATTCGTGTGCAGCAAATTCTCCTGCGTAAAGAATCAGTCGCTTTTATAGTGCGTTTGATTGCGAGCGGGCCGAATGAACTACGGCCCGAATTTGGGTTGAGGAGACATGTCAAGTGGGTCAACTCCACAACCCGGAAAATTGACCCGAATTTCAACTTAAAGCCCATGTTGGCCCATACATAGGATAAATTACGGTCACGCACTGAGATAAAGTCAAATTACCAAAAAGCCGTTCATATTTGATAATTAGAATCTTTTTACACGTACACCCTTATGATTTCACATTCAACAGAGTTTTCTAGATTTCGTGTAATGTTCCCTAACTTGTATTCGTTTTGTACAAAAATACGATTTATAATGTACCACAATATGATATTTACAAGATAAAAGACATATCTTATGATCATCTTACGTCAAAATGTGAACCTCGAATGCCAAAAAAAAAGATACAAATTGGAGATGAGCGGTGATTGTAATTACACAAACATGAAGGGTTTTTTCATAATTTAACCTAACCTTGGGGTTTGGCAGTAATTTACCCTATATAATATGTATTTAAATTTTCTTTTATTATGTTTCTTTTTTGTTTTTTTTCTTCTTGTTTCTCCAACATGTCTATAAACAAATCCAAATTTTAAAATAAAAAAAAAATTAAATAATCAAAATTCAGATTGTATAGTAATATTTTATTAGATTTGCAAATATATATATTAATAATTATCAGATATACAGAATTAAACAAATGGACTTACAGTTGGGTGGATTAATAATATAAAACAATAGAAAAAAATAATAAAATAATAGAAAAAAAAAAAACAAAAACAGGCGCATATGATTGGGCAGTAGGAGGAAATGCTCCGATGATGAATGGAAGATCTCCATGAACGAAGAAGAAAAATGAGCAGTGAAAAAGGCGAGATGATTCTTCATACTAGAATCATGAGTTCATCGGAAGACAATCTGAAAGGATTTATACTCGCTCTTCTTTCAAGTGGTTTTATCGGCGCTAGCTTCATCATTAAGAAGAAAGGCCTCCGCCGAGCTGCTGCCGTCTCCGGTGTTAGGGCTGGTAATTTTTTTAATCCTTGTAATTTCCCCCCCCTCTTTGTTGTGCGCTCTCAATTTTGAACATTTTATTTTTTTGATTTTTTTTTTAATTGGAATTTGTTAGGTGTTGGGGGGTATTCGTATCTGTTGGAGCCTCTGTGGTGGATTGGTATGATCACAAGTAAGTGGAATTTTTGGTTTGTTTTGTTTTTTTCTGGAGATTGTGTTGTTTATCGGCATGAGATTTGATTTAGCTGTAGTAATTCATTTTCTCGTTTTTGTAATCCTGGCACACTAGCTAGATATTAATTGCAATTAACTCGTTAATTTGCATAATTTAGCAAATCAATTAGGAAGGTGATGGTTTGATTAATTTGAAGATGCCCCCTTCTGAGATCTTGTTTTTTTTATAAATCTACTGTCCGATTCTGTAATGTTAACGTAATACTCGTCCAATTTGGATTAATTAGCCGGAACCCCTATGATTTTTGTGATTCGTAATAATCGTATTCAAGTTTCGATATCATTTTTTTCTTCTTTCATACGACGCAGTGATTATCGGAGAAGTTGCGAATTTCGTGGCGTATGCATTTGCGCCTGCTGTGCTTGTTACCCCTCTTGGTGCATTGAGTATTATAGTGAGGTAACCTATTTAGGTTTTGATTCAAGAATAAAAACAGGGAACCGATTTTAGTATCTTAATTTTTTTTTTCGTGTAGTGCTGTGTTGGCTCAATTTATGTTAAACGAGAAGCTGCATCAACTAGGGATATTGGGATGCGTAATGTGCATAGCTGGTTCGATCATAATTGTTATACACGCACCGCAAGAGCAGCCAATCTCTTCTGTCCAGGAAATATGGAGTATGGCTACACAGCCAGGTAATAACTAAGAACTTACCTTAATAATAATAATAGTAATAATAAAATAATAATTTACGTTAATGGCTTAATCACACGGTGTTTCTAAAGTCTAATGCAGATTTTGTTTGGTTTTCAGCCTTTCTTCTTTACGTGGGATCGGTTATCATTTTGGTATTCATTCTTGTTTTCCATTTCGCACCGCAATGTGGACACACTAATGTTCTTGTTTTCACCGGCATATGTTCGCTGATGGGTTCTCTCTCGGTAATTCCCCATTTGCTAATATAATTACTAACATTTTTGTATTATCTTGTTTTCTTGTAATATATGAATGGAAAAGTTACTGCTGTGCTAATCGGAATTCATTTATTGCTAAACTTTGGTTGCTTATCATTAATTTTCATTTTAGATTCCTTGAGTGATCATATACAATAACTCCAGAGATTTTATTTTTTCGTTTGAATTTCCTTTCGAAATCCCGTCCGGTGAAATCTGTACGGTTTCATTTAAAGAAACATATCGCGCTTCCCTTTATTTTACATTTGATGTCAATTTTGTCCAAGTCAACTTAGCATTCAGCCCTTATCTCCTGGGAATTACGTGCATCGGTTTCAATTTTGCTTCTTCCACCAATAGTAAACCTATAGAAAATCTACCTGAGAGCTTTACGGATTCTTGTTTATACGAAAATGATGTATCCCCGTTTTGCAGGTTATGAGTGTGAAAGCTCTAGGAACTTCACTGAAATTGACTTTTGAGGGGAAGAACCAGTTAATCTACCCTGAGACCTGGCTTTTTATGTTCGTTGTCGCAGCTTGTGTCATTATGCAAATGAATTACCTAAACAAGGCGAGTATATCGTTTATATTTTTACTTGCTTCTCTATATTTTGTATTTTTCCGATTGATTTATTTCGTCTCCTATGACTAATTAATGATTTCTCTGTTACTTGGCTAGTTCGAGCTTTCTCTTGTTGTTTACCCATTCCTCGTATGTTCATTTGTTACAGGCTCTTGATACCTTCAACACTGCCATTGTTTCTCCAATATACTACGTTCTCTTTACGTCGCTTACAATACTTGCCAGTGTAATTATGTTTAAGGTAATATCTGTTTACATGAGAAACGATACGCAAATCAAGAATATGTTGAGAGTTTTGTTGCGGAAAAAACTTATAATTGTTCGTATGCTGACAGGATTGGGAAGGGCAGAGTGCTGGGAGCATTGTATCAGAAATATGTGCATTCATTGTTGTACTCTCTGGTACCATATTGTTGCACGCAACCAAGGATTTCGACAGAAGTTCGTCTTTTAGAGGTCTCTGCATGTTTATTTTCATCTTTATATTGACTAATATGATTAGATATTTAAATGCTAAAAAATACTGAATTTTCAAATTCAGGTAACTGTACCCCGTTATCCCCTACATTATCAACCCGACTATGTAACGGGAACGGGGAGATGCTGCAACACGACGAGCCATGAGGGTTTTCGGTTTTACTCAACAAGGCTTAAAAAAACGCACTCTCTCTCTCTCTCTACATGATTGACTTTCCTTGAAGAGAGAGAAAATTCCATCCCTTTTTGAGTTGTGGGGATAATATGAATACGAAATTAACATTAACGGATTTCTGGAGCAGAATTAAGAGAATCTTCGAGGAATCTCAGATGAAAATCCGATAAAAGGTTACTCACTCGTCTAATTTTGGCTTCGGGCGAGATAACAGAATCTCAGAAAGAGTTTAGCATGTGATTGATCCATATTGAACTGAAAATTCGTCTTGTAGTTTGATTGATGTAAAGATTTTTTGTTTTGGGATTGTTTTTTGAGAAAAAAAGAAAAGAAAAACAGGAAGCATGGTTGATGTTTTGGTGACAAAATGTTTGTAGCTGTAGTGATTCTTGGACCTTGGTGCAACATTTGTAGCTTGAAATGAATTGAGTTATTGAATTTGATTTGTACTACATATTTTTCTTCTTTTGTTAGATAAGCTATCGACTCCAACTCGAATTGACTTCAATTGAGAATTTGAGCTCGAGTAGCTCGACTTTTTAAACATATATAGATTTTTTTATCTAATTGAACTCATGTTCGGACTGAACTTTACGCAATATGCGTTGGCTTTAATCGACAATTTGAGCTTGAGTAGGACGACTTTTAAACATATTTAGATTTTTTTCTACTAATCGAGATCATGTTCGGACCGAACTTTACGCTGATTATCGAACGAAAATACGCCTTCAACCTTGATTTGTTTTGTTAACAACTTTCATAGCATGGTTGGTGGTAATTTTCAGAAATTTCTCAAAACAAATTGGGTAAACTACAAAAAACATTCTTAGAACTTGGATGTATTCACAAACAACCAAAATAAATCTGTAAATTTACAAACGTGCCGACCACAATGACAAGTGTTTTAAATTTTGTAAACTACACTAAAAGAAAAGAGATATTTATGTACTACTACACCAACTTCAAAGAATATGAAACTGGACCCCAAACTGGTCAATTCTGGCAACTTCTAATCCCTAAGAAAAATACAAAAAAGAAAAAGAATGATTTTTTTTTTGTAATTTTTAATTTTCTATCACAACTCAAAATGAATTCATTTCCAACGTATAACATTTTTTGGCCACCATCAATTTCCTCACGGCTTCATCCAGCACCTTCCCCTCCCTTTCCTCACCGGCAAACGCTCCGGCCACCATATCGCCGTCGCTCATCATCCCCTTCTTCACCTTCTCCGCCTCCACACCACCGCCGGCGGCGGCGACGGATGCGGCCGGCCTTATGACGACCAGCGTCGCACCCTCCATCACCTTGCCGGAGAGCTCCAGCCTCTCCAGATACCACATCTTCATCCTCAACGCCGGCACTCTGCTCCGGTACTCCGACACCTCACCACTCCGATTCGCCTTCAATTCCCTCGTCTCTTCGATCTGCTCTCTGTTCATACAGAGCCGGCCCTGATCGGTTTCGTCGGAGACCACCACGTTTGCGATGCTTTTCTGAGTTTTCACCGTTTCCTGTATCAAATAATGCCTGGCGGAGGCGGCTATCAAACATGATATCGTCCACACGATCCTTATCTTCAGATCGTCGTCCGACATGAACCGCGACTCCTCCTGATCGGACGCGGTCGAATTCTCCTCCTTCAGGGGCTTCTCGGTCCAGGATTTGGCGCCGAGAATCACGCAGCTGTGGAGCTCTCGCCCGAATTCAGCCTTCCATTTCAGGAAAGTCGCTGGGTTTCTAACGTTCCTCTTCGAACCGTGTTTCTGATTTCCATGGCAGGGCAGCCGGAGATGGAGAGCGCGGATTTCTTCGAAGGATTTCAGGATTTCGTTTGGCACGTAGTAAGAGTAGAAATCTAGGTCGTTGTTGTCGTCGCTCTTCGACTTGAATCTAACAATTTGAGAGATGAAATTGTAGGGTTTCATCAGAGCTTTAATCACGAGATTCCTGAAGAAACCCCTGGGTGTTTGTAGATCGGATTCCTTAATCGCCGATTTCTTCTGATGAGGTACCGGCAGGAAGATTTCTCCGACCTGAGGCGCGATTGATCGGAAACGCTTACAGGCGGCCATGGACAAGCACAGTGACCTAGCGTCCTGCAATTTCTCGAAAATCGAGAGCACCACCTCGTCCGGCAAACGATCGAACGAATCATCTTCGGCGGCGCCGACGATTTCTCCTCCGCGGATGGACTCCGTCGCCGTCATTCAAATTCTTCTGATCTGGTAAAAGTGGAATTGGGGATTTTTTCTTTCTCAGAGAAAAAACGTATGTGTGAATTGTGAGAGTGGAGATAATGAAATAGCAGAGGAAGGTTTATATATAAAGGGGGGGAGTGGATAGGATTGGCGGTTAAGAAAAGGGG